CCTGAAGTGACTTTGTAACTGCTGCTTGAATGCAGCGCCTTTTCTTTGTGTACAGCACATTTCTAAGGAAATGAAACTCAGATTAATCCTTCTAATCTCTTTGGGAGTTTCTTGGCCTTAATCATTTAAAAAGAAATCAGCTTTGGATACTCAAAGAAAAGTGAATTGGATGGGCTTCTGTCTGGTGGCTGAGTAAACTGAAAACTGCCTCTTGCATTATTAGAGCTGTAATCACTTTTGGGTTGAGTTCTTAAGAGGTTATGTTTTGGCATGAAGTTTTAGCCTTTTGTCCAGTGGGGTAACTTCAGTGGAATGAATCCTGCTTCCCAGAGCAAAAAAGTCCTCATTGCTTCCTGAGCTGGACTGTAAGGTGCCGGTGCATGGTAAAGGATGTGTGTTGCCAAAAATTTCTTCCTATGGCCTTATATGCATTGTGGGGGTCTTTAAAATGTCAATAAAGAAAATAAAACTTCTGTAATTGGGAGGAAAAAGGAATCTACTCTGGAATAGTGTCCCTGAAGCAAGAGTTATATTTATCGGAAAGATCAGCAGGCTTTGGGCTATGACTCACATTTGGAGGCGAAAATTGCACTGGCACAGATGATTCTGCACCCTTCTGCCTGCTCTGCCCTCCTGCCCTGCCCACTCCAGTGCTTTCCATAGGATGGGCCAGCACCTTCCTGTAAACAGGGATGAGTTTGGGTTTTGCTAAATAAGCTGAGCAGTAACTCTGGAGGAGCTGGGTATCTCCATCTGTACCGTGTTCCCATCAGTGACCTTCTACTAGCTTTTCCCTTGTGTCTTCCCAAAGGATTTGTGACTCTGAGCCAGGGTCTGGAAGGAGAGGGATGCTGGAAGTGTGTGGGCAGGGAAGGTGTGGGGCTGTGTCTTTGCTGGTCAGCATGGCCAAGGGGCCAGCAAGGGGAAGCTCTGGATGATGGGACTTCATGCTTCCAGTCTGTGCCATTGCAGGATCTCCCTGCCATGGTCAGCAGCAAGACCCCTGCCCACCCAGCTTGGGAGTGACCTGGCAGCAGGAGCAGCCACTGAGCAGAGAGGAATTTGCTGCAGAGCTCTGGTTTGCAAAAATTTCCTTTAGGCACTTCCATTTCCTTCCATTTCCATTGCAACAAAGTGCTTCAGTGTGCTGTTGCAGGCACAGATCTGCTTCTCAGGCTGATGAAAACTTGGAAACCTGAGGAAGCTCCATGGGAAGGAAATGTTTGTAATCTGGATCTTATCCCTTTACTTGAAAAAAAATCTGTCTTTGCATCTCTGTTCATGCAAAGACAGTGATAATGTCTGGTCCTTGCACAGAGGGACCAAGGAGGGGTCAGAGGATGCTTCATGTGCTGTGCTTGACACCTCAGTGCTTTTGCAGGGACCACTGCAGCATGTCTTGATCAATCATCACCATGATTGTACATAGGCAGAAATTATCAGAGCAGCACTGTGCAGAGTGGTTGTGTGGGATCAGTGCCAGCATCAATGCCCAAAGTCCCTGCTCTGCTCTGGCTGTGTACCCCTCCCCTCCTGGGCTGTGGTGCAGGGGCATGCAGCTGTTTGGGGCACGTGTAGAGCTGTACAATGAAATAGCAGAGGCACCACTGTTTCCAAGAGGAAAGGGAAAGGGCAGAAAGGGACCAGGGCAGAGTGCCTGGGCATGAATGTGGGTGCACCAAAACCAGTCCCCTCAGGCAGGGACCTGGCTTTGTCCATCACAGCTCAGAAACAGCCTTTATGAGCGGGCAGTAATGAAAATGCTGAGCGGGGATATCGCAGCTCTTGCTGTTGTGTTGGCTGCTCCACAGAGCTGAGGAAACAAGGTCAGATTAAATGTGTGTGGAGGAAGTTGGCAGGTCTCCTTTGGCTATAAAAGCAGCTGAAATTCTTACTCTTGGATCTGGGTAGAGAAGGTCTGGTGGACAGTCCGCATACCGCCTCATGCCTTTCAAATTAAGTGTGCTGGAAGGAGACGCTGGGAAATGCTGGATGGGCTCCTGACATTTTGTTTTCATACCAGGGGATGGGTGGACAGGAGCATGGTACTCTCCTAATTAATGCTAATGGGTCTGCTGCAGGGCAGGCACGTGGCTGGGACCATGTGCAGGGTGAGGGGTGAAGCTTGCAGGGGCAGGCTCCTGTCTCACAGGGTTTGCTGTCCTCCAGGAGAAGATTGGCTGGCGTAAGGAGGCGTCTCACCTGCTGGTCTTCACCACGGACGATGTGCCCCACATAGCCCTGGATGGGAAGCTGGGGGGGCTGGTGCAGCCCCACGATGGCCAGTGCCACCTGAATGAAGCCAACGAGTACAGCGCGTCCAGCCAGCTGGTGAGTGGGGCACGGGGCCCAGCCCTGAGAGACCTTGAGGGTTGGTGGACCTCTCTGGAGACCAGCCAACCCCTACTCCATCAGCTTTTGGCAAGTGCAGTACCTGGTTTAACCCAGCTTCTGCAATTTGCAAATGAAATTTGCTCTGCCCTTAGGCATTCCCCCATAGTGAGTGCCTCTGTGATGTTCAAAAATGAGTTGGTGACTTAGTGAGTTCCTTCAAAGCTCATTGCAAGGGGTGGAAAAGTAACTTGGTGTCTTGAAGAGCATTACATTTTGCCTGCAAAGGGTAGAGGAAACATATGTCATCCCTCTTCCAAAATATGTCTGAGGAGGATGGAGTCTGAGGACTGTGCAGAGGACTCTTCCTGAGGAGGATGTATCTACCTTAGTGTTGCTACACTAGCAGGTACAACAGAATGCTGCTTTTATTCACAGCCTTTGAGCACAACACTAACATAAGTCTTAGTAATAATCAGGCAAACTAACCCTTTTTAAAAATTGAACTCAGTGGAGGAAGCTTCTGTGATGAATGAGCACTTGCCTGCCACTTCATTATCCCATCCTTCTGCAGAATAGTGCTTTATTCAGCAGATCACATACACTAACCATGATTTTTGTTCCTGAATGTGAGGGGAGGGCAATCTGGATGGCCGTGTTAAGGTCAGAAGCTGGGCTCTGCAGTGGAATCCCCTGTGCAATCCTACCAAGTGGATGTATGTGTAAGGGACCACATTCCCCAGCTGGCTCCCTTATGTGGAGTTAATGCTGGGGAGCTGGCATGGGGGATGCTGCCTTGGTGTTTCCATGTTTGAGTCTCAGAGGCTCTCAGTCAGCCCTCCAGTCTTCAAGTAAATGAGATGTTTTTTCCCAAGGGCAGCACTTCAGAGTTTTAAACTCAAGCTGGTCTCTTGAAACTGAGCCCTAGTTCCTTATTCTGTTGCTAGAGCAGTGTCTCCTTGCTATCCTCTCTGCCAGGGAAATCTGCAGAATTAAAGAGCTTATTGTAATCTCTTTATGGTCCCAGTATGTAGAAAGAACAGGCAATGGATATTTCTGCTTTTGGAAGAAAGAAATTGATACATTTCCACTTTTTGCAGTTCTAGATCTCCCTGCCTCACACCCCTTGAGCTAGCAGACATTTAGCACATGTGCATCTGCTGATGACAAAATAGAAAGAGGAAAGAAATAAACCCAGTGTTTTGGGTATTGCTGTGGATAGTGCTATTGTCAGTCTTGTATTATAGTGAGGAGTGCAGTAGACATATTTAACAGATTTCTGATATTTTAGTTGGGATTGTGCTGGCACATGTGGAGCTTCATCGCACAACAAAACATGCCATGTGTCTGGAATGAATTTTGCTGTTGGGAAGAGGAAAGTAGTGAAATTAGTCTTTGTTTTCTGTGTTACCCACCAGTCTTTCTTCCCTTTTTTTTCCCTCTAGGATTATCCTTCCCTGGCACTTCTTGGGGAGAAACTTGCTGAAAACAATATCCACCTGATTTTCGCTGTTACGAAAAGCCATTACATCCTGTACAAGGTAAGTGTTGTTGAGCTGCCTGGACTTGTGGAGATTGAGGAGCCTCTTGAGGCCCTGAGGAGTGCAGGCAGCTGCAAACATGAGTGTGTGCAGTTATAAACACATGTGTGCAGTGATATGGGTGCATGCATGTGGCCGCAGGCTGCCTGGTGCAGGCAGGCAAGGCTCAGCCCTGCTAGTCCTTTCAGCAGAAAGCACTAAAGCTGCTTAGAGCAAACAGATATATATGTGTTAGTGAGCATGTGAAGAGCTAAAATAGACTCCATGTTAATCTGGATGTTCGGATGGCTGCCAGCGTGCAGCGTGCCAGAGAGCAGAAACCTGCTCAGCCCATTCTGCAGTGACTTAATCCCATTACCTAATCATGCACAGCGTTTCTGCCCAGCTGTGTTTTTCCATCACGGAGTCCAGGGCCCTGACGTGCCACACACAATTTCAACTCTCCTGCCATTCCTGCTCTCCCCTCCGAAAGGAAAGTTGACCCAAGGCACAAAGACCAACCTGTGTCTAGAGCTGCCCTGCGGGGTTTTGCTGCTCTACCGATGCAGGGGTGGTGTTTCAGGCGGGGTCGCTTTTGGAAACCTCTGCCGAGGCCCTCGAGGCTCAAGCAGGAACAACAAGCAGCCGTGTTGCTATGGTTGGGATGCTGCTGTTTGCCCATGGGGAGAGGGAGGGCTGAGCTTGTTCTCCACCCCCTCTCCTGGGGATGCTCAGGGTTGTGAGGGAAGTCAGGACAGCTGCTCCTCCCTCCCTGCAGTGCCAGCTTTCTCGAGTGCACAGCAGCTGGGTCTTGCCCTCTCCAGCACCAGAGACAGGTATGTTTGTTCCTGTCCCATGGCCATGAGCTTTGTTTAATATTTGACATGCTTCATTAGCAATGCTTTACTTTTGAAACCTCCACATTAATGGGAGCCAAACCATATCATGTACATCTCTGGGTGATGGGGCAGTGTGTGTGGCCTATCCCTGGCATGGGGTCAATTCTTCCCCATCCTCTGCTTTCTCCTCTGCACCTCAACATATTAATCTTTCTTCTATTATTTTTTTTTAAGAACTTTACCACTTTGATCCCTGGAACAACGGTGGAGATTTTGCACAAAGATTCCAAGAATATCATTGAGCTGATTGTCAAAGCCTACAACGTAAGTTCATTTTAATAGCACAGCTGCTGAAGTGAGAAGTGCTAAGAGCTTGGCCAGCTCAGCTCCCCCCGGTGAGCTCCACCCAGCTTGGCTGCCTCCCTCTCCTGTCCTCTCCACACTGCTGGAGCTGGGATGTCCACCCTAGGAAGGGAAACAAGGTGTATGAGGAGGAAAAGAAGCATGGATACCCAAGAGAGCCTGTGGGACTGCAAATTTCACCTCATGTCTCTTATGTGCAGAATTACCCACAAAACACAGCCCCCATCTAAAACAGCTGGCAGCTCCTGCCTGTGCCACAGTCAGCCCAGGGCCACCAGAAACCTGGCACTTGCCCAGCCCATCTCCTCTTAGTAGCTTTGTTTTTTTCCTGAAATGACTGAGGAAATTCTCACTGAGGGACATGGCTGAAATTCTGTTTCCCAAATGGGAGTGAATGTTTTTGTATTCCTTGTGTAAAGGAAGGTCTGAGCCTGGAGAAATCCTTCATCTGCAACAGGGACTGTCTTCTCCTGCAGGGTGGCAGTGGCTGATGTTCTGGGCCTGGGCTCAGTCCCTCCCTTTCAGTGTTTTGTCCACCTCTGGTTCTCTCTCATCTGCTTCCCCTCACCCATGCGCACATCAGATTTGCCCAGGGCCTACGTTACCCTCAAGATCGCTTTTTTCCATCTACCTTTTCATCTGCCCAGCATGCTGACCCCTCTCCCTCATCCCACCAGGTGTGAACAAAAGAGATCAGACTGCTTTGTCCCTGCCCTTCCCCCAAATCTCAACATACCTGGGAATTGGAAAGCTCATGGGAGGCTGAGCCCAGACACAGGGCTGGATTTGGACTGACGATAGCGAATGGGATGCTGGTTTAAGAAGCACTTTCCTGAACCAAATCCAGGCAGGCTGTGGGAGTGTTTCTTGTTGCAAGCACCAGTAGCCCTGCATGGTGTGGTGGCTGTGGTGTTGTGAGAAGACACTGGTGTGTAACAGTGCCAAGGGGCTGATAGTGATGGCACTGAATTTAGGGTAACAGCACGACTCTGTAGGGCTAATAAGAGGACTTGGCATCTGTGTAGGAACATAGGATGAGCTTGTGCAAGGTCATACTGAGGCCTGGCCTGGTGTCCTGTTTTCTGCTATGTTACTGATGGGATGCTCTGGGAGAGAAGACAGGGGAGCACATCAGTGTAGCAGCTAATTTCTACAGGATGGTTTGGGGTGGAGCAGTATCCATGGATTAATTGGCAATTGGTGCATGCAGCGTTCAGCCCACGGGCAGTGCATGTTCTGTATGTTCCCAGTTGCTACCCCATGAAAGGCTTCTCTACAGTGGAGAGATGTTAAATTATTCCTTTCTTTCCTCAAGGACTGTTTAGATTTACCTGGCAAAAACTCATTTATTTCCTGCACATTTCTAGAAGCATTGGCTCTTTGCTGGCATGTGAACCCTGCTTTTGTCATCACATGTGGGGTCTGAATTAGCATTTTCCTTAATCTGGCCTCTTTGGTGAGGGCTGGGGACAAGGGGAAGAGGGATGGAGCTGCAATCTGGCTTTGGATAATAAGCATATTTGTACAAAAAGCTCAATTTTGAAAAACCTTGTTGTTTTTGGACACCACTGGTATAAAAATCAGTTCCAGCCATTGGAAGAATTAAACAAAACAATGTCATTCTGAATTAATATTTATAAAATTCATTTTGTTGTGACTTAAAAAGTCTGTGTATGCAGCAGGGCAGAGAGTTGAGAAGCAGAAGAAAGGGGTAGAAGCACACCAAAACCTTCCAAATGGAAAATGCTCTTCACTTTGAAAGGTTTTTTCAAAGAAAGAGATTTTTCACTAATTTTTTCCCATGGTGCTGTTTCCAGCTTACACTTTTGAAAGGGTTCTTTTTGTTCAGCTTTTCCTTCTAAGAGGGAGAAGACATTTTTCTGACCAGTTGGGTAAAATGAAGAAAGCAGGACAGAGTTAGTGCAGTTTCATGTCCTCTCTGTGCTGCACAACAGGCATTGTAGCACAGCAGAGGCAGGCTTTGCACTTTGCTCAGGAGATGGTTTATGGGGAGGAGAAGGCGCAGTGTGCACAGAAAGCTGTGACCTTCAGAGATATTCTGTTGTGGTCAAGAAGATTTTCTTCTTTTTCTTGTGCATTCATGTATTTCTGGTACTGGCTGCAGTGTCCATTACACCTGTCCTAGAGGTCCTAAGCCACCTGCAGGTGTGGTAGGCTGTTCCCTGTGAATCCAGTTGTGATCATGAGAAGTCTTCTGGCCTGGTTAAGTCAAACTCAAATGTCAGTGTGTGTGCAGGGGTGATTTTTTTCATATAGGTGCAGAGATGTTCTACCCACCCTCTGGAAACACCAGGAGAAGAGACCTTTCTGTCTTTGGGAGCTTGATGATTTGCTTTCCCATTGTGTTTCCAGAGTATTCGATCCAAGGTGGAGCTCACAGTCTGGGACAGCCCTGAGGACATTGGCTTGAGCTTCACTGCCACATGCCAGGATGGGCTATCCTATCCCGGGCTCAGGAAGTGTGGGGATCTCAAAATTGGAGATACGGTGAGTCTGCTTTCAATCTCTTCCCTGGAGAGGCTGTTTCACCCGCTTCCCTTGGCTGATGAGTGGTCCTGGGCAATAAAACACAGTTTTGTCCATTTTTTCCCTGCTTTCCTCATGATGATATAGAAACCCACAGAGAGTGGCTCTGCAAGAAGCAGTTTTGGGTGGTGCAGGTCAGTCCAAGGCGAGCTGTGAGGAAAGGGGGAATACAGGCATCTTGTCTACGGTAGTGAACTAAAGGTCCTGATCATGCAGCAGGATGCAATAGTCAAAAATGGGCTTTTTCCCTTAATCACAGATATTCACATCACAGTCTCACCTGTGAAATTCCATGGGCAGCTCTCCTGTGTTCAGTTCCTAGGTTATTGAATGGCAGCACAGGCTGAAATAAATGCTAACATGGCATAATCCATCCTGTGCTTTTTAAAAAGCAGTGAAGCTAAGCTTTGCTTGTTTAAATTGAGTATTGATGCAGATAAATGAGTTACTGGGCTGCAGGGCTAGGGCAGGAAGGCTCGGGTCAGTGAGGAACCGCCTCCCTTTCTTCAGACTTTTGCTGTCTGAGGCCATGGGTGTGGGTTCGTTAGCAGCCTGATTGCCTTATTTGAGAAGAGTGGCTTTGCAAACATTCCAGAGCTCTCAGTGCTCTGGCATATAAATATTGTTTGAAAGAGTCAACAGTTGCTGGAGTTTTACCCCACCAAATAAGGATCATGTGAGGTGTTAAATAGAGAGGTGGCCTTGCTTTTTAAACTGAATTTCCTGGCTCTTGGATAGGTGGATAAAAGCAATACCTGTAGCTCCTTGTTCCTACAGCAAAACTTGAACCCCAAAGGAAGCAGAGTCAATCTGGTGGTTGATCCTGGGCTCCCAGCTCTGGCAGGAGCAGGAGCATCGTTCCAGCTGGTGCAGCTTGTGCTATAAAGGGTCTGGTGTGAGTGCAGGAGGGACCTGGCACTGTCACCGCTCCATTTTTGGGGCACCCTGAGTGTCGAGGTGCCTGCACAGCCAGAGATGCCACAGGATTGTGGGGTCGTGTACCTCCACCCTCTCTTTTCAGCTGCTCTCTGCCCCATTGCTTCCACGTGGCTTGAGACTTGACTCCTGCTAAGAAAGTTTCCCCAAAGAGGATAATGCTGGCACTGGACCCTAATCTGCCAGGGTTTAGTCCTGGGGCTGTGGGTGTCAGCGGGTGAAAGGGAGCAGGATTACCCTGATCTCCTTAGCTTGCTTTCTGATCTCCTCCTCTGTAATTTGAGCTTCTATCCTAATTGCTTCAGGCCTTGGGAATGGGAGAGGGTCAAGGGAAGTTTCCTGGGGGTGCAGCTCTCCTGTCAGGGGTGGCTGCTGTGTCTTCATTGGCACATCACCCCTTGACCTGTGGGACAGTGAAGTCAGTGAGAGTTTAAGGTGACCCCCAAACGTCCCCAGACAGAAAACATTCCTTCCTGCAGCCTAGGAAGGGGTCTCATTTCCTTGGAATAAGGTTAATCCTCCTTGCTAACTGGCAGCTCTGGGCAGTGCTGGCCAGCCCTAACAAAGAGCAGGATTAAATCAGGGGCCAAGCAAGCAACCAAAGTATGGTCTTGGTTTTCTCAAGGAGAAAATCCCTGACACTGGATTGTAGCAACATAAAACAAGTAGAGGTGTGATGTATAACCATTTAATGATGTGTACAACCCTTTTGAAGTCAGGCTTGATAGAAGCATCCATTAAAAATGGCCTGTGAGCAGCGTGCCAAAAGCTTGGGGCTGTGGGGCTGATACACATTTCCACATGCAAATCAGGAGTTCCATAAAACCTTCTAAATCCGTGATCTTATAGGCATGTTGGGTTCTTTGCTGTGCTGGTTAGATCTTTGGTAGTGCTTGTTTTGAGAGAGTTTTCTATTTTTAATAGCATGAAAACTGGGCTATTTGCTAGAGTTTTGCTCAGTTTATTCATGGGAATAGGCAGGTTCCTTCCCACTGCACAGAAACCAGTGGTGCCTGATGGGGAAAATTGCTGTGAATGTCTGACAGAGAGTTTTAAAATGCTTTCGATGCCCAGCCCCTCATGGGACTGGCGGGTGCTGGTGCACTGAGCTGCAGGTGCCCTGCTGGATGCACAACTCTCTGGGGCTTCTCCTCACACCTGGGAATGAAGCTCTGCCGTGCTGAGCTGGGCCCCGTTCCCTGGAATTGCTCCGTGGATTTTCCCCGTTCGCTCTTCCCTGCTGGGGAGCACCGCTGACAGCTGCTTTGGGGCCGTGCCTCTTACCTTACATCTCCCCGCAGGTTTCCTTCGAGGTGGCCGTGGAGGCGCGGAGCTGCCCTGCCGAGGACACGGCCCACACGTTCACCATCAAGCCGGCCGGCTTTCGGGACACGCTGGAGGTGGCCGTGACCTACAGCTGCCTGTGCGGCTGTACAGGCCGCGCCGCCCCGGCCAGCGCCAAATGCAGCGGCAACGGGACCTACAGCTGCGGGCTGTGCCAGTGCGAGCCCGGCTACCTGGGGGCCCGCTGCGAGTGTGAGGAGGGGGCCAGCGGGGACCTGCACCACGGCCTGTGCCGCGAGGCCGAGGGCAAGCCCCTGTGCAGCGGCCGAGGGGAGTGCAGCTGCAACCAGTGCCTCTGCTACGAGAGCGAGTTCGGCAACATCTACGGGCCCTTCTGCGAGTGCGACGACTTCTCCTGCGCCAGGTACAAGGGAGTCCTCTGCTCAGGTAGGAGCCTTTCCTCCCTCGCGGCCTCCGTGTCGTAGCAGCGCAAAAACTGCCCCAAAACGGGAAAGGTTGCTGGGCTGGAATGTGCGGGGAATCTGCTCTGTTGCTGGAGGTGTCTGTGCTCCATTTCTTTTCCTTATGGGAAAAAGAGGGAGAGGTTGAAATGCATCCACATTTAAGAGAAAAAATTGCATTATCTTCATCAGAACTGGGTTTTGAGCATTGGAGTCAAAGGCTCCCTCCCTGCAGGCGTGTCTGCTGCCTGGGTCCCAAGGAGATGAGCAGAGTCTTGGCTTTGGTGTTGTTAATTCGATGTAACTGTGCACATCTCTTGCACACTGATGTATTTCCTTAGGAAAGTGTAAACCAGCACAGGCTTGAATCCTCTGAGGCTTTTTTGATGTTTTCATGGGTTGGTTTTTCCTATGTGTGCCATCCTTCCCTGCCTAGGCAGAAACAATCTTCTTTTAAAGATGAAGTATTTGGCGTAATCCCCTGGTGCATCACAGGTGAAAGGAAAGATTGTGTTTCAGGCTGTTACTTATTAGAGAAAATCCGTTTTAAAGATTCCTAAAGCTGTTTTTTGTATGGATTTTTCTCCCACTGGGAAAACAAGTCATTCACTGGGAAAGCTGTAACCAGGCAGCTTTGCTTAAACAAAGGTAGAGGAGTTATTTAGCTGTGTTTGCTAAAACGGTTTTAGCAAACCCCATCAGTCCAAGGTCAAATAATTTACCTCGAACATAATTGCCTGGATTAGCCCTCAGACAAAATTCCCTCAGCTGGATCAGGGCAAAGGTTTGTTCTTTAAAATTTGCCTGCTTTCAAGCAAGTGAAATATTTCTGTAGCCAAAAACCTTGGACAAAAATTCCAAACAAGTGTAAGCTTGGAAAAAATAGCTACTTTTTATATTTTCTCCAGGGAAGTGGTGTTTTTTTCCGCTGCTGTTTATCTTACCCTGCATATTTCAGAGTGGGGCATTAAAGCTTTGGTTGCAATTTTCTGGCTGTTTGAGGCAGTTGTGTTGTTAGGTGGAAAGAGGATGTTTGTGTTAATTTTCCTGTAGCCTGGCTAGTGGTTTTGTCACTGCTGAAGATGAGGCAGACAATGCTCTGTGTTTGGAATTGCCCTGGAGATCCCTGCTGCAGAGCAGTGGGAAAGGCCAGTTCCACCCTGACAGTGACTGCCCTGACTGGGGGGTCTGTGGGGCTCTCCCTGCTGGTGCATGAGTGGAAAGATGGGGGAGCAAGCAGGAGAAAGGTGTTTGAAAGTAGATGGGGGGAAAAATTAACCTCAGCAGTGAGGTAATTAGGAGCACTGCTGCCTGGAAGTTCTCCAGAAGACAATTGCTTTGATAGCATCATCCCACCCTAAAAGCGAGCAGGGCAGCAATGCTATAAAGCGAGGTTGTGAGTTACTGCTGTAGCAGTTGCTGCAAGGGAAGGACACTCTGCTTAAATTTCCTTTTCAGCAGGAGGGCCAGAGCTCCGCAGGAAAGCAAGTTATGTATCTTCTGCTGCACCTGCTTGCTTCTGTCCCTCTGGGGATGTCTGGTGCTGGGAAGAGCAGCATAGCTGGTTTTGTGACTTGCTGAAGTCTTTTAAAGTAATTTAAAAGTCCTTTTTATAGTTATGAAAGAAAACAAAGGGTAGGCTGAGGCCAAGCAAGCTCTTTGCTCGAGGGATGGGATGGAGTCTGGCATGGCTGCGTGAGGTGGTTTGTTGGCTTTTTTCTTTTCCATAAATTCCAGCACTCGTGGTGCTAAATCTGAGCTGTAGCAACTACTGTGCCAGTGACATAACATTTTGAGGTGGCTTTGTCAGGCCAAGAGGCTTGGGATTTATCAGCCCCCCACAGGCTTGCATGGCAAGGCTATGCCAAAGCTGTGTTTAGTTCAGCACTGAACATCTGTCCACCAGCATGTGTAGTAGACTTGGGCAGAAGAGTTTGGGTGATGTCTTGGGAGCAGATTGATTCCCAGGGCAGTTGGTACAGTGGCTGGTTGCTGTTTTTGTTCCTGCTAGGGGGTGAAAGGACACCCTGCTCTCACTCTGTCTTTTCCTGGGAAAAAAAGATTGAAATTCCTGGGTCCTTTCATAAATGTTGGAGCCTCATTTTGTCAGCATTTGAGAGGAGAGATGCCTTCATCTGC